CGGCCCGGACGCGGTGACGCTGCCCGCTGGGGCATTCCCAGCGCGTCTCGCAGGCTACGCTGACGCGCGGGCGCCGAACTGCGAGTCGGTGATGCGGGCGGGCGCGATATCATGGCGACGTCGAAAACAGGCAGGCGCGATGATGATAGTAGCGATGCTGGTGACGATGGTGGCAATGACGAAGGCAAGGCCATTGACGGCGCCGATGCTGATCACGCCGACGACGGTGATGGTGTCCACGTGTCGGCGCTGAAGTCTTAGGAATGATTTCCACATGCGTGCGCGGCCGACGCGCGCGAGTGGCCAGCATAGCTTTCTTTGACAAAGGCCGTGCCCCCCAGCGAGCGCGCAAGGGTTTTCGAATCATTCCGACATGCGCGCTCGAGAGGCCCGCTTGGTCGCATTTGATGAGACTGTTGGGGAACCGATGGGTCCATGTGAGTTGAAGCGCAAGCGCGCGCTCATTTTTGAACGGCCACAGTGCGGACCAATTTGCTGGTTCGCATCGTTCTAACATTTCGAATTTGAAATCCACACGGGTCCGCATGGCTTCTCGAAAAAAAAAAAAACATGTGCGCGTTACGACGCGCGCGTGTATTTTTTTCTCTGTTGCCCGGGATTTTTGCAACAGGGTGACTTTGGATAAACAAATGTGCGGGCATAGTCTGGTTTGTAAAGGGTGAAAGGGAGAACCGGATGTTATGAATTCATTTGAAAAGTGAACGATGGAACAGAACACACATGTAAATTGAGCACACGAGGCCAACATATTCCTAGAGGGGTCAACCCTGAGTTCTCTGAAATGAGAAAGTATGTGTGGTGCGATTGATACGCAATGCAGCTTATGTAGTGTAAACTACGTGATGCAACTTATGTGATGCAATATGTGTGGTGCATCCTATATACTGCAAGCGACGGTGTGCAATCTATGTGGGGCAACCCATGTGGTGCAGGCCATGTAATGCACTTTCGTTGTGGTACTATGTATAAACATGTGTGTATGTGTGTATGCATACGTATGTGTATGTGCATACGTATATTTATTTGTATACGTATACGTGTGTGTATAGGTGTGTATGTGCATGTTTGCATGCATACGTCAACGTATGTGTATACGTAGATGCATGTGTTACTGTGGAGGTATACGTAAACGGGTATGTATAGGTCAATGCATATGTATGTGTATGTGTATGTGTATATGTGTATGTGTATGTGTATATGGATATGTAAATGTAGATGTGCGCATCTATCATACATATACATATACAAATACACATACATATACATATACATATATGTATATATATATATATATGTATATGTATATGTACACATATGTGTTAAAATGGTGCGGCCTATGTGGCTCAGTCTAGGGCGGCGACGAGGCGTCGACGAGACGGCGACGACGGCAACATAGCCGCCAGACGGGCAGACAGGCCCAGACGACGGGCGGCGACGGGGTGGCGACGGCGGCAACATAGCCGCCAGACCGACAGAAAGGCCCAGACGACGGGCGGAGACGAGGCGGCGATGGCGGCAACATAGCCGCCAGACCGACAGACAGGCCCAGTTCCTTTCGAGGACAAGTAAGAATTCCTGAATGCAGGCGTTGTTGGTGGAATCTGCGCATCTGAACATCCAGGTGCCGCCTGACGGACTGGACCCGACACATCTGCCGCCCCCCCTCGGATCCAGACTCCCCTGGGGACCTTGTCTTCCCACGCGCTTCCAGGTGAGCCCGAGCCTACCTGGGCGCCATAGGCGGGTCCGACCAGGCCTGCGCTTCTGCCAACGAGCCTCCGCAGAAGATCGGGACCCGTGGCTAGGCCTCGCTTCGATCCAGAGCCTCCCAGGCCTCCAGGCGTCGCTACGCCTCGCTTCGACCCAGGAACGCCCCCCCAGGCCTCCAGGCTTGGCCAGGCCTCGCGCAAAGCCCGAGCGCCCCCAGGCCTCCAGGTGTCGCTGCCAGAGCTGGAGCCCACGCGGGCACCCAGAAGCCTGCACCCCTTCCCAGGCACTGGCTCCTCGTCGTCGTTTTTTTTGGTGACGGCCCTGGGGCACGCGAGGGCCTCACTGCCGAGCGTGGCCAGCATCCTCCCGCCGTGGCGCGGGGGGGAGGGGCGGTCAAAGCCCGAGGCGCGGACAGGCCCAGGGATGCGCGCCGGCTGGAGCAATCGGGGGCGGCAAAGAGGGGGGTGATGACCAGGGGCGGGTGGATGTCATGGCGTGGGCCATGATGTTTCTCCAGATTTCACGGCGCCTCTTCTTATTTCGTGACGTCCCTGGCCCCCCCGCTGGGCCGCGCACATGCCGCCGGTCATGATTTGCACCCCCCCCCTCTTGGACACCCCCCTCTTGGAGGAGAAGGAGGAAGAGGAGGAGGAGGAGGAGGAGGAGGAGGAGGAGGAGGAGCGGAGGAGGAGGAGGAGGAGGAGGAGGAGGAGGAGAAGGCGGAGGAAAAGGAGGAGGCGGAGGAGGGAGGCGCTCCCGAAGTAATTTCGAGGCGGGCCCAGCCGTGGCGACGAGGGTGCTCTCCAGGAGGTCCCCAGAGGGTACAACGAGCAGCCCCCCAAAAAGGGCGAGCAGCTGCCCAGGCGCCCACCGCCATGCCTCGTGGCACGCCGCGGGGAGTTACCAAGGGCTCCCTCGAGGGCGCGAAGTTATTCGCGCTTCGCGCTTCGCGGTCCTCGTTCCTTCTCCCCCTCCTCCTCGTCCTCCTATTCTCCCTTTGGGAGGGCGGCGCGAGAGCGCGAAGTTATTCGCGCTTCGCGCAGCGCGCAGCGCGAAGCGCGAAGTTGGGAGCCCTAGGTTACGGGGAGGCGTGCCTCGCCCAGGCCCAGGCATGCGAGGATGCGCTTTTTCCCGGGGCGTGCGCGGGGGGATCGGGAGGTCCATTCGGGATGGCCTCCTATGCAGGGCTCGTTTCGATCCCTCCGATCCGATTCGACCCGATTTCGATGGCTTCGCATTCCGAGTCGATTCGACTTCGGATTCCGATGTGGACTCCGATTCCTGAATGGGCGCAGACTAGCCTGCCGATTTCCGCTGCCTCCACTTCTCCTGACTCGGCTGCCAGTTTCCGCCGATCCGACACATTTCGATCGCCGATCTGACTGATCGATTCGTTTCTGGGCTCTCCTGCCTTTTCGGGGGCGGAAAAGAGGGGGGTGATGACTAGGGGGGGGTATCATGGCGGGGGCCATGATGTTTCCCCCGAGTTCCTGGCGCATTACCTTATTTCATTACGTCCCTGACCCCCCCCCCGCTGGGCCGTGCACATGCCGCTGGTCATGATTTGCACCTCCCCCTCTTGGACACCCCCCTCTTGGCCGCTCCCAACCTATGCGAACCCTACCCCTACCCCCGACGATTCCTGAGGGGGAGGGTGGGGTTCACTTCGCTCAGGAGCTCTCGGACGAAGCGAACCCCCCACACTCCCCCTCAGAAATCGTGGGTTCGCATGTGGCCTCCTATTCACCGCCACCCGCGAGGGGGAGGAGGAGGAGGAGGAGGAGGAGGAGGAGGAGGAGGAGGAGGACGAGGACGAGGACGAGGACGAGGACGAGGACGAGGACGAGGAGGACGAGGAGGCGAAGGAGGCGAAGGAGGAGGCCTGGAAGGCCCTATGCCCGTGGGCAGCGTCGGGGAAGCCCCCGGGCAGCTAGCGCCTCCCGGGCGCGCTGGGGCGCTGCAGGCTCGCGCGGGGGCGCCCCCGCGCGCGGGCGCTCCGGGGCTGCGGGCCTCCGGGGCCGAAGGCGAGGAGGGAAACGGCGACGACGGCGACGACGGCGGCGACGGCGACGACGGCGACGACGACGACGGCGGCGGCGACGACGACGACGACGACGGCGGCGACGACGACGACGGCGGCAACGACGGCGAAGACGGCGGCGACGACGACGACGACGGCGACGGCGGCGACGGCGGCGGCGGCGACGGCGACGACGACGACGACGACCGCGCTGCGGGACTCGGGGGCCGAAGGCGAGGGGGGACACCAGGTGACACAAGGACCGTCGGGGACGCTCTGGACGAGCTGGTCGTGACCGACATTCTGCCTCCCCAGACCTCGCGCTGTGAAAAACCCACGACGGGAGGTTTGTGATGTTATTGTCGGCCTCCGGAGGCCTTCCCGGGGCCTCGGGACCGTCAAAGAGCGGCTCGGGATGGAAAACCGGTCCCAGGGAAGGGGTCCTGACCTCTGGGGAGGAGGAGGAGGAGGAGGAGGAGGAGGAGAGGGGGAGGAGGAGGAGGAGGAGGAGGAAGAGGAGGAGAGGGGAGGAGAGGAGAAAGAGGGGGGAGGGCGGGTCCTCGTTTCGAGGAGGAGGAGGAGGAGGGAGAGGAGGAGGAGGAGGAGGAGGAGGAGGAGGAGGTGGAGGAGGAGGAGGGTCGACGTTGTGAAAAATCACGACGTCGGGGGTCTGGGGACGAGCCGGTCGTGACCGACATTCTGCTTCCGGTCGCGAGTTCTGGCAACGAGCGGGCCCCCGGACTTTCCACGAGGGCTAGAAGCGCCAGGACCGTGGCGTCTAAATTCCGGTCGAAGTTTTTTGAGCAGTCCAGGTAGGTACATAGGATTATATAGGTCTGGAGGTTTACCTTTGAGCACTCTGGAAGTTCAGGGCCGTCGACGTCGTTCACCGCGGCCCGCGCGGCAAGTCGTCGTCTTGCCGGCGGGCGCCCGCGGAAGCACGCTGGGGCGCTGCGAGCCCTCGCAGGCGGCCTGGGGTGGCCTCGCGCCCTCTCGGCGAGAGGCCATGGCGCGGCGACGACGACAACGACGACGATGGCGGCGACGATGGCGGCGACGACGACAGCGGGGACGGCGGCGGCGGCGGCGGCGGCGACGACGACGACGACGACGACGACGACGACGACGACCGCGACGACGACGACGGCGACGACGACGACGGTGGCCACGACGACGACGACGACAGCGGAGGCGGCGGCGGCGGCGGCGACGACGACGACGACGACGACCCGCACCCTGTCGGCGAGAGGCCATGGCGCCCGACGAGCTGATGCAGGCCCCCGCTGGCCTCGCGGAGCTCGACGTCTCCCTGGCCGGGCGGGCCTGGAGATCCGGGGCTCCGAGCAGGCTGGAACGACCAGTTTTGGGCCATGCAGGCCCCGGGACCCCCAAGAAGCGACACAGGACGAGACATCTAGGGGAACAAGAAGTGACATAAACATTAAAAACTCGGAGCTCCGCGCGGATTTCTGGGATCCGCGCTGGACCCCCCTGGCGGCGCCTCCGGCGCCGCCCCTGGCGCGCTCCGCGCGCCAGGGAGGGGGGTCAAGCGCGGATCCAAGAAATCCGCGCGGACCTCCGAGTTCTTATGTTTATGTCACTTTTTGTTCCCCTGTCATCGGCCCTATGTGGGAGGTCGTCCAGGCCTCCCCGGGCTCCACGCATGGAAGACCCCAAGAGTTGGAGCGCCGGATGTCTCCGAGGGGGGCGAGCGCGAGCGCGAGCGCGCGGAGGACGGAGGAGGTCCGAGGGCCCGCCTCGAGGCCCTCGTGGGCCGCTGCCCTCTGCTTGCTTCCCCTTTTGTTTCCCGCACCCGGCCCGCGGCCTGATCAGGCCGCGGCCTGAAGTCTTGCGTTTTCAAGTATTCAACGCGAGACTTTCCCAGATTATCTGGTTTTTTTTTTTTCATGATTTTACATGTTAGAGGTTTACCCTGATGTTCTGTCGGGCCTGTCCCCCTACAGGGGGGGGGCTTCAACGGAAAAGAAAAGATACCCCAAAAATGCACCAAAAAGGTCCCAAAATGCAGAAAAAATAGTCTCCAGACTATTTTTGGATTATGTTCTGATTATGTTTTTGGGGTATTTTATTTTTCGTGTACAATCCCCCTGTAGGGGGACAGGCCCGACTTAACCCTAATGTCTGAGAAACGGCAGAGCGGTCTGCCTCGAGGTTCGGCAGCGTGTTCCGCCCGCCCATGCCTATGGGGCCTCGCGGGAGGCTTCTCGGAAAAGGTCTGGCGCCAGGCCGCACCCTTGTAAGTGCAGGTTTGGGGGGTAGTTTGTTTGTCAGGGGGTGGGAGGTCGCTGAGGGCTTGACGATTTTTCGCCAGTCGGCTTGTGGGGATCGAGCCAGAGAAATCCAGGTAGATGCAGATAAATCGAAGTAAATCCAGGCATCTCAGGGCAAATACGGCAAATACGAAAATACAGCCGCCGAGGGCCTCTAGAGGCCGAAAAGGGTGAAAAACTTCCGTCTTGATTTTCTCAATGCGCTGGATCTCCAGGTAGCTAGAAGCAAGGACGACCGCTGCTTTTCAGAACGGGGCACGCGCCTGAATTTTGCAAGATCATAGGGGCGCTCGTCTTCCAAGGGGGCACCTCGGGGCGAACGAGGAAGGGGATTGGGGGAGGAGGAGGAGGAGGAGGAGGAGGAGGAGGAGGAGGAGGAGGAGGAGGGGAAGGATGTGCGGGTTGCAGCATCGTTGGCGCATCTTGGGCTTACGCTGGCCCTCCTCTGCGACAATCCTCTCCCTTGCCCCCTTCACCTCCTCTACTCGCTAGGGGCCTCAACGACTTCTCGCGTCCCTCGACTCGCGCTGGAGCGGCCACGAGTCGCTCAACATTTCCTTGGAGATCTCTGGATATACCTGTATAGATGCCAACAATTACCCCCGGGACTGTCCAAAAACAGACCAGGGAAGGGGTCGGGACCTCCGGGCACCCCGTATTGAAACAATCACGACATCGGATCTCTGGGTATACAAACGGTGGCGAAATGAGATCAAGAAGTCCACGGATGTGTTAAGTGATAGCCCAGCTTTAAAAAAGGGCCGCCCTCAATCCGAGCAGCCATTATTCCAAGGCGTGCGGTCATGAACCTTACGATCGTTTCAGGCGAGAGCCCTGATCAGAAAAGGAACCGGTTTATATATCCGTGTAGCAGCCTCACAATGTGAAAGTGATCGTGAGGGTTAACAATATCAATCTTGGAAAGGAGCCGCCGTCCATCCGTGTAACCGTTGGACGTTTTTCATCATCCCGACTCGTTGTTTTACGGCTCCGCGCCTGGCAGGGCGCTCTGAGGTCAAAAAAGGTCAATCATGTTCCGTTGCGGTTTGTCGTATTCCCCCTTTCTTCCTCCTTCTGTCCTCTTCCTCTTCCTCTTCCTCTCTTCCTCAAGGATCAGGCTCTTCATCCTCTTCCTCTCCCCCTTTCTCTTCGTCCTGTCCCTCCCAGGAGGGCGGGGGAAGCAGGAGGAGGAGGACGACGACGCCAGAAGACCCCGAAAGGAAAAGGACGAACGACCCCAACATTCCTAGGGGGCGGCCAAGAGGGGGGTGATGACCAGGGAGGGGTGGATATCATGGCGGGGGCCATCAGATCTCCCCAGATTTCATTTCATGGCGCTTCCTCTTATTTCAGTACGTTCCCGCCCCCCCTGGGCCGCGCACATGACGCCGGCCATGATTTGAGCCCACCCCTCTTGGACGTCCCTCTCTTGGTCGCCACCGAGTCCTCGCGTCGTGAAGCAATTGCGACGGGATGCTTTCTTTGTTGTTACAGTTTTTAGCCTCCAGGGGGCCTTGCTGGGCCCTGGGGCCGCCAGAGAACTGCGCGGGATGAACACCTCTTTCAACCTGAAGGGGGCCAGACCTCTGGGGAGCCACATTAGGGAGCAAACAACGAGGTCGGATGAAGCGGTGGACGAGGGAGGATGGAGAGGAAGAACGGACAGGGTTGGGAGATGAAGAGACAGAGAGCGAGAGAGAAGTGGCAGTGATTGGGGTGCAGGATGACGAAGGGAAGACGAGAAAGGAGGAGAGGGTGGGAGGTGGCGGATAAGGAGGAGGGAGGAGGCAGGTTGGAAGTCGAGCTCCTGGGTGTCACTGCGGAGCAGATCTCCACGCCGATTGGGGGGAACTCGATCCGACTGGAACCGTTGATGGCCATGAGGCAGAGCCACCCATGCAAACTCCCAGGGGCTCTCAGAGGATGAATACAGTCAGGACTTGGCTGTGGCCTACCACGCCGTGACGCGGTGCGCTGATCACATCTCAGCGCCCAGGCGTCAGCATCCCGACGGGGCGTGAGCGGAGCAGCACGCTACCCGCTCGCAGGAAACATTGTGTCTCTGGGGCCGCCGCCGCGACACGTGAAGGAAACGTTCCCGCCCGTACGGCAGGGTGCTCAGGCGAGGCAGCGGTGTGGCTCGTGTACAGTAGGCACATAAAACAAGACGTCGGCCTTCAAGCAGGTTCCCCGCGGAGAGTTTGATCATCCCCCATAAGCTCAGGGGCACCTTCGGACCCTAAATGATTGGCGAAGCATGTGCCCATAATGTCCCATAGCAAGACTTCTTACCGTGAGTGGCTACTGTCAAGCCTCTGGATCCTGAAGGGAGCACCCCGCGGGAAGGCAGACCACGACGCGGCTTGTGCTGGTGTGTTGATTACACCCCCGGCACACTGTCAGCCTCACCAGCGTGTTGTGCTGCTCGTGCGGGGCTCGCTGCAGGTGCCTGGGCAAGCCCTGCTGACCGCCGTGGGCGAGGGGGGTACGGGGAGCGTCAGACCAGAGTAGGAAAAGATAGCGATACTGCCGCTCGTCCTGGAGAGCCCCAATCGCCAAGGCTGGATTCTCCTCGAAGTTATGGTCAGGACGCACTCCCAGAAGAGGTCTGGGGAGAGGCGGTCTCGGTATCCTCTTGCTTTCCCATAAGACTCGAGTTTGCTGGATCTCAGGATTGCCGCCGCTTCTGGACGGTCCTGCAATGTTTTCGTGAACACATATGCCATTGGAGCTCTTTACAGTTTCATTCTCGGTCACGACACTTTTCTGACGTCCCCGTTGAGCAAATTTGAGCCCTTCAGAGCTCGAGTCTTACTCCCCCCTGGAGCGAGCAAGGCTATCCGTTCGACGAAGCCACTGTTATGTTGTCGCGTAGGTTTCCCAAGCAAGTTCTTGTTCCGGTCACAGTTGCAGCACGTAGTTAGTCGAGCCCATGCTGATTCAGCGCGCCGTGTGCGAAAGAGGCCGCACTCGGTTGTGAAGGCAGCATAATTTTGACAGGCCTCTTCAAGCACGATGCTGCATTTTCAAAACATCTTACCCTCGTTGACACGTGCGTCCACCTCGGCATCGAATACCTGGGTGTGAAGGCAGCATGCTTCGACATGCCTGTTAAAGTACGGGCCAACGTTTCAAAATATCGTACCCTCGATGACACGTGCGCCCACCTCGGCATCGAATGAAGGCAGCATGCTTCGACACGCTTCTTAAAGTACGGGCCAGCATTTCAAAACATCTTTACGGAAACGAAGAGGTACCGATACCGCTACTCCCCGGACCTCTCCCGAGGTGCGTTCTGACCAGGATTTCGAGGCGAATCAAGCGGTGGCGACGAGGGTCGGCTCGGAGGCCGAAAAAGGGGGAAAACGAGGGAAGGGTAGAGGTATGGGTACCCTTTCCTCCTCTGACTTGACGACGCGTGCGCCCACCTCGACATCGAAGGCCCCCTCCACTCGCAGAGGTTGGCGCCGCAGCGCCCTCTTCGCCCCGCGCGCCGCGCCTGGGATCCCTCGGAGCCTCGTCTGACCTGCTGTGGATTGCCCCTGCTTGTCCGTGATCCATTCGCACGGCTTGCCAGAACCACGGTGTTTCGCTGACGGCAGGTTCGCGTCGTGTCGACCGGAGGCGATCAGAGGAGGAACAGGTACCCATACTGCTGCCTTTGCACCGTTTTCCCCCTTCCTGGGCCTCCTGGGAGGCCTTCGTCGCCACCGCTGGATTCGCATCGAAATCCTGGTCAGGATGCACCCGGGGAGAGGTCCAGTGAGTAGCGGTATCGGTACGTGCTCGGCTTCCCCAGTATTTTTCGCTTACGGTAGGTTTGCGTCGTGTCGACCGGCGGCGACCCCGCCGCCAGCGTTCCACGCCGTTGGCGACCCAGAACCGGTGGATCTTGAACGATCTGAAGTTTCGGAAACGGCCGACCGTTCAGGGTTGAAAGGTCCCTGCGGTGTCAGGAGCCAGCGGCGAAGTCGGCACGACACGAACACCCACCGTACGCGAGCGCGCCTAAGTCCGGGGGGTAGCCACGCCCGATCGGAATCTGAGAGTATGAGGAAATGTGATTGGCAATGACTGGAGAGGTGGCAGCAGTGCCGCGATGAGGATCCTATCTTGGCGGAGGCGGGAGGCGCGGAGAGGCAGTGGAGAGTGCCGCGCACGCGTCGGGCAATGAGCCCGAAACGATCAGGCGAAGCTCTGTTCCAGAGTCTTCCGCCAGTCCGCCGCCCACGAGAATGTGTGAGAAGGAAGGAGAGGAAGAAGTGGAAAACGGCAACGACGGTGAACGTAAGAGCGAGGAGGAGGAGGAGGACGAGGACGACTGAAGGCCTTGTCGAGGTCCCCCTCGCCGAGCGTCGTTGGGTCAAGTGAGAGCCGCGCACGAGTGGGGCGATGAGCCGGCACGATCACGCGCAATTCTATTTACGCACGAACTGCGAATGTTGTAATTTGGGCGTGCGCTCGCTGGCCGAGTATGTCGACAAGTGTCGCGCAATACGCCACCTATGCTCAGACAGTTTGGAGTTTGCACGCTCTTTATGATCGAGTCTTCGTAAGTCTGTCGACTGGCGACCATCTGCGCGTCTGTGTGAACGTGCCTGGTCATCATGTAGCTTTGGCTCAAGTGGTTGTCGCATACTGCCCTCCAGCAGCATCAGTTTACGTGACCTGGAATGCCCGCAACAATTCCGTTGCTCATTCTTACAGGGGCGGGTATGGAAGCGAGTTTTTTCTTGGCGAATATTTCCATTGGACATCCACCACAAGAGCAAATCGTATTGCTGGATACGGGAAGCTCCATGCTCTGGATCGCAGACACGGCATGCACGACTTCGCAGGGCGAAAAGGGGTGTACCCCTCCTCCTGCCAAGGCCTTTGTTCCTGCACACTCCAAGACAGCGGATGTGGGAGGAGCCGTTGCGCCGCTTGTGTACGCCGACTCTAGTAGCATAACAGGCGTGCTTCTGACAGACACGGTGCACCTGAGTGGTGAGGCGTTCTCACACATCCCCATGCTTTTGGCAAAGAGGATCGACCGTGGCAGCAGCATTGGACAGGGTACCATGGGCTTGGAGTTTGGAGGTGAGGTCGTTACGGGTTTGGGTAGCTTCGTGGACGCAGCATTCCCTCAACGAGGAAACCTTGCCTCAATCCAGGTCCATACATCACTGCCAGATCCTCATGTCTTTCTGAGTGAGGAACACACCAGTGACGCGTTTCGCTTCTCTTCGGACATGTTCACAGAAGACAATTCTAAATGGTATGCCAGTCTTCGCGCCATAGGTATGAGCACCCAAACGTCTGGATCACTGTGGACGCATGATTTCAGCCGCAGCGACCCTTTAGGAGCACCAGCTTTGCTGGACACTGGCTCAGCAGCTGTTCGGGTAGGCAGTGATGTTTTCAGAGGTATCGTCTCATCTCTCCCCGACTGCAGACAATCAAGTCGGTTCGCCGCTTTGGATTGCGCTTGTGAGGATCCCCTTCCTACGTTGTCCCTAAGTTTTGAAGCATACGAGAGCAGGCGGGCGGGTCTCGATTTGGGTGCAAGCTTCCTTGTTTGCGTGCCTCCTGAAGCTTATATTTCTCGTGCGCCTGGTGGTCGTTGCCATCTTCACATTGTCGATGCTGGTCAGCCGCATGAGGTTTTTGGCCACGAAGCTATAGTCCTCGGCATGCCTGTTCTGAAGGCGGTGCATTTTGCATATGATGTGAACCGTCGGGTCGTCGGTTTTGCGGCTTCTGCGAGCTGCACAGATCCGAGAGATGCGTGGATATTTAGGAATGGCCAGTCCATCAGCCTTCTGACCGTTGTGGTACTCACCGCAGTTGGGCTGTTGCTTTACAGCCCTTCGGCACGTGAACACAGTTGGAAGTTATTATGCCCGTGTTCCGGTCGGTCTGACAGGGGGGTGCGATTGTTAGACGAGAGCCCGTCCAGCGAGCTTACAGCTGTGAGTGCTGAGGAAACGAGGGCACGTAGACTTGCCCGTTTCATGAATGCCCCGTCCGCGGTTCAGGAGGGTGGCTCGCTCACGGGTCATGCAAGTTCCGTATGACTTCAGTTGTGGTTTGAGCTTGCAGCTTATAGCTTGCAAGTGTAGTACGTTAGTTCGTTGTTATGTTTCATCATGCTTGGGGACATTTGGCTTTGCGTAAGACCGTAAGCTCGAATGCCCCCATACCTAAGTATCGTCATCCTGATTGGCATTTGACGTAGGGCCAGACATTGCGACATTGCGCCGCTTCATTCGCACTGCGAGTTCGGCTGCCGAAACCATGAGTGTAAACGCATTCGGGGGGCAGGGATAAATCCTATGGCCAGGCGGCACGACAGCGTTAAGAAGTTGACAAGCTATGTACGGATCTCTTCTCCAGTGGTGAGAATGCAAATTCTGAACGTGTCGCATGGCCCCACATGCACATGTAAAACAAATCCCAGGCGTGTCGTTGTGAGGAAAGTATCCGGGAAGGAACGCATCGAAGTGAATCACTGCAGTCAAGCCGCTGGAATGTGGACCCCTCTGGGCGGCCGCTTCTTGGACCTATCTCGGGGAACAGAGGCTCGCCGTGGCCAGAAAAGCCCCCATGGTTCAACTGCTCCTCCTCCTCCTCCTCCTCCAACTCCTCCTCCTCCTCCTCCTCCTCCTCCTCCTCCTCCTCCTCCTCCTCCTCCTCCTCCTCCTCCTCCCACAGTGTAGCACGATAGCTACACTGGAGCCATATTCGACCTCTTGGGGTCCATTCAGAAGCCATTGAGGCTCTCTTGGGGCTCCTTCTGACAGAAGCACACATGCACGCAGTGTTAGGGCTCAGGGTGTCTCGGTGCTGTGTTCTCAAAAGCTGCGGGCACCCTCTCGGTGCAGTTTCGGAGAGCAGCGGCCCAGAAGGTGGGGTACCCACGGAAAGGCTACGCATGAGAAAGACGCTGTGCAATCCAATGTCCCCTGAAGCTCATACTACGGCGAATTCCGACGTGACGCGACAGGATATGCGGGTCCAGAGAGGGGTGGGTTCGGTTCCGTGCATCGGCCATTGTCCCATACATGGGCCATGATTTCAGGTTCACCCGTGCGTGTTTCTTGTGCTGTTTGGCGTGAAACGTCCATCGCACCCACGAACACTGAATGGAAAACGCGTTCCAAGGTATAGCCCGAACTTTCTTCTCTCATGTATTTAAGGGCATAGGGGCATTTTAGGGTACATGGCAGTTTGTTCTAATCGGTTTAAGAACTTTCATCAGAGGTAGCGGATATTGCGATGCTTCCCCGCTGTTGCACGCATGTGCGTGGGTATTTATATTTGTTCCCCCCTATGATCATACAAATTGCCTTGTTTTGTATGTGTTCTCCCGCGCTGGGTCCCAGTCCCTCCCTACCCTCCGGACGGGGGTGACGAGGAGGAGGAGGGGGAGGAGGAGAGGTAATACTTGTATACTATGAGAAAGAGAAAGAGGAGCTAGATAAGACGACTGCGAGCACGACAATGGCGACGATGAGGATGACGATTCTGATGATAGCGGTGACGACGATGATGATGATGAGAAGGAGGAGGAATCCTTCATAAAGGAACCCTTATGTGGAATCCGTAATAAGGGATCTTGAATAAGGGATCTCTACGAAGGATTCCTTACACAAGGAATCCTTCATGAGGAATCTTAATCAAAGAACCCTTAACAAGGAATATTTGCCAAGGGACTCCGGCTAAGGAATCTTTACGATGTAATCATTAATAAGAAATCTTACACAGGGGTACTTAATATGGGCCCTTGATTGAAAAACCCGGAATACATAATCTGAAGTAAGGAACCGGTAATATTACATCATGAACTAAAGGAGCCTTCACACATAATCTGTAATATAGGAATCCTCAATCAGGAATCCGATGTAAGAAACTTGTCATAAAGAGTCGTCGAGGTATCCTTCCTAAGGAATATCATAACAACGGAGTTATTACTCAGGAGCATTTGCCAAGGAATCTTTGCTGAGGAACTTATGCGACGGTAATCCTCCCAATGAATCTTTAACATGGAATCCTTCATAAGGAATCCTTAGTCAGGAACCCCGAAGACGGAATCTGAACTAACAGATTTTTAGTACAGGTTCTTTATTGGAAGATCCGTCATAAGGAATCTTGAGCAAGGAATCTTGAAAAAAAGTATACATTGATTACGAATATGTACAAACGGAATCCGTATCGGGAGATGTTCAGCCCGGAGCCCTTGATAGGGAACCTGAATTAAGAAATCTGTAGCAAGGAACCTTTTTTATACAGACTCCCGCATAAGGAATCAAACTTAAGGGCTCCTGAATACGGAATCCTTCATACGGAATCCATAATACGGAATATTCAATAAGGAATCTTTCATACATAATCTTGATTAAGTAACCCTTAACAAGAACCCCTTAATAAGGAATATGTCTTCCAGCATCTTCCATGCGGAATCCTTGAGGGCATCTTACTTAAGCAGCCCCACAAAAGGATTCCCGCACAATGAATAACGATTAGATTGAGGAATCCTTGCCAAAGCATGTCTACTTGATCTGAATACGGGGTCGGATGTAAGAAATCTGCAATAGGTAGTCGGTACGGAATACATTGTAAGCAATCTCAGCCAAGTAGCCCCGATACGTATTAGGGAATCCGTTTTAAAGAATCAGTACTAAGGAATCCTTCCTAAGGGGTTTCTACTAATGAATTCTCCATGCGGAATCTGAACGCAGGAGTCCTTACTGGCCAGGCGTTCCCACCCCAGGTTCAAGAAAACGTTGTGTATGTTGGGTTGTTTGGGTTGTTTGGGTTTGGGATGCCAGGAAACACTGTGTACTGTTGTTTGTGTGATGTTTGTTTCGGTTTTGCTGGCTCACAGAGAAGTGCTGCGAGAGAGGCCGCGGCGAGCACTGGGGCTTGCAACGCCTAAAAACAAGTTAAACAACATACACAGTGTTTCGTGGTTTCACAAACCAGAAAACGAAACAAACTGGACATACACAGCGCTTCCCTGTACCAAGGGCGCAAACCACTGTGTGTCTTTTGTTTGGTTTGGGATACAAGGAAGCACGTTTTTTCTTCTTTTTTTGCAGGCTCAAAGAGACGAGAGAGGCCGCGGCGAGCATTGTGGCTTGCACCCCCCGAAAAAAACAATACACAGTGTTTCGTGGTGTCCCAAACCAGCGAAACAACAACAACAACAACAACAACAACAACAACAACAACAACAACAACAACACAAACCACAGCGCTTCCTTGCACCAAGGGCGCCAACTATTCTGTATGGTTTTTTGCTGGCACAGAGAGAAGTGCTGCCAGGAAGACCGTGGCGAGCATTGAACCTTCCAACAAACCAGTGTTTCTTGGCTCCGCAAACGAACACAAGCAAACACATCAAACATACACCGTGCTTCCTTGCACTGACGGCGCCAAGCGCTGTCTGGTATTGGTCATGTATTGCTACAGAGCCGGAGAGGAGGAGGAGGAGGAGGAGGAGGAGGAGGAGGAGGAGGAGGAGGAGGCGGAAGAGGAGGAGGTGGAGGAGGAGGAGAAGGCGGAGCGGAGGAGGAGGAGGAGGAGGAGAAGGATGCAAGCGTCTGCAGGGTCGCCGCGGCCGAGACCCGAGCGCCTGGAGACCAGGGCCCGCCACCACCCCCCAAGCAGGAAGGGGTGTCCCGGCCATGGGCCTGAGGACAGCACGACCACGATAAGGAGGCCACAAGCGAACCCTACCCCTACCCCCCACGATTTCTGAGGGGGAGGGTGGGGTTCACTTCGTTTGGGAGCTCCCGAGCGAAGCGAGCAAGGTAGGTGGTGCAACCTATGCCTATGTACTGCAATTGTGTGTGGGGCGATCCATGTGATGCAAAATATGTGTGACATTTACATTGTGCAGTCGATGTTGGGCGACTCAGGCGATGCGAACTACATTGTGCACTTGATGCAGCTACTCCTATGTGCGGCACTGTACGTGGGCACCACATGTTGTGGAATCTGCAGTCGACATTGAAGTTGTCAGCGTTATTCCTCGTGCAGCTATTTCACCCACACCCACAACTTGGCCTGCAAAGCCCACGCGGCGGCAATTGCGATGACTGCTTCACGCTGGCTGGCGCATCGCTGCGGCCGCGCTAGCGCGCGCAGGCTCGCTCGCAGAGCGGTCTGCTGGTCTGCCGCGACCGACGCGGCCGCGGTGGCGTGGACCGCTGGGGACTGCCCAGCGCGTCTCGCAGGCCGCGTCGGCGCGCGGGCGCGTCAGTGCGGGTTAGTTATCCGGGCGGGCGCAGGATCACGGCGGCGTCGACAACGGCAGACACGATGATGATAGCAGGGGCGTTGGTGACGAAGGTGAGGATGATGACTGCAGGCCCAACGACGGCGCCGATGCCGATCACGCCGACGACGATGATGAAGCCCAAGCGCCGGTGATGAACTTGGATGATGATTTCGGCATGCGCGCGCTGCCTACGGGCGCGAGTGGCCCGCATGGTCTTATTTGACAGGGGTCGCCCACCACACACACACACACACAGAGCGCGCGCGCCCCGGTGTTCGAATCCTTTTTCGGCACGCGCGCGCGCGAGAGAACCCATTGGTTTTGGAGCGTGCGCGCATATGGAAAAAGTCGTGTCGCAAAGCCAGGTGGTTGTTTCATCGGGACACTCGATTTTAAACCCCTACGAAACCACAGGTTTTTGTCCAAGGAGTTCGGCGTGGCCGCGCGAAAATTAGCGCGTGCGCAATCTGCCATATTTGCTGCAAGTAATTCTTGACAGCTGATGGTTGTTGACGAACGACTGTGCGCACATAGTGTTCGCTGGCGAGGATGAGAGGGGTGGTCGATATTGGTTTGCTTGGTATGGTACAAGCTCATACTTACAATCAACAGTGAGGCAGATCTGTTGGTAATTTGCACATTCCCTTGGGGTCCGAATGACACCGGGGTGTTTGTGTGGGTGGTAGATTTATTTTATTTGTTGTAAGGGAGAACGTCTGTTGTGCAACCTACATGGGGCAACCTGTGTGGCGGCGACATGGCGGCGACGGTGACAAACCGCCAGACCGCTAGACTAGGCGGCGATTAGGCGGCGAGGAGGAGGAGGAGGAGGAGGAGGAGGAGGAGGAGGACGCTAGACAGGCCCTGGCGACGGGCGGCGATTCGGCGGCAACGGGGCGGTGACGGCGGTAACATAGCCGCCACAGCGCCAGACATGCCCAGACGACGGGCGGCGGGCGACACGGCTGCGGCGGGGAGGCGACGGCGGCAATATTGCAGCCGGACCGCCAGACAGGCTGAGTTTCTTATAGGAAAAGTGAGAACCCTTATGTGCAAGAACCGTCCCGATACACATATTATATGTGTATATATCGATATTTTGTTGAAACACACACGTGGTTCTACATTGTCCTTACACACATTCGCATTCCTATTCATTTTAATTCCCGATGGTATCCAGCCCTGCTTCATGAACTGAATGGCCATGCGCGTTGAGTTCTCGCGCAGACTGAGTTGTGAATGGATCGTCTGGAGGTGGCGGATCGTTTTGGGGTAAGATAAGGGGGCGTACCATTCGACTTGCCCGTCCTAAGCCATGCATATCGCCTCTTGGAAACCTCTTAGTACTCGAGGTGGACTCTTGTTGACCGTCGGGGCCCACTTTGGGCACTTCTGGAACATTGTTTGGGCTCTGTTGGGCAATCTTTGAGCCAATTTGGGGTCCTCCAGGGCCAATCGGAAGCGAAGGTGAGCATGCACAATTCGACAAAGAGCATAGCCCATACAACGCATACGATTGATGCGGCAATCGTAAGAGGTAGCTTTTACGCCGATGGCTCCCTTCAGCAATCACAGGACTCCTGTGTGTCTTCTCTCGGGTTCATTACGCTTTCTTGGGTCCCGCTTGGTTGCTTGGGGAGTCTTGAGGATGTCCGTTGGATCTGCTTGAATTTCTAGGTTTCTGTTTATGGTTTCTGTTGGGTTGTATTTGCTTCTCGTTCGGTCCCTTCGGATGGCTCGTGGACGCCGTGCCATAATTAGTTGCTGCGTGTGTGTTGACATTGTTGCGAATGGTACAGCCTGCCAGAATCGTCTGGCAAAACCCGTCCGCCCGAGTTAGTTTGTTGAAGTTCAACTTTTCAGTGCGAAGGGCCATCTGGTCATCATGTGCGGAGAAGGCCAGCACGCGTAGTGGGGGCAAGGCGGCATGTAATGAAGGGGCGGTGCAGGCTGGAGCTGAGTCTGTGGCCATGAAGCAGTTGGCAAGGCTGCTGCATCTTCCTGTCTTCCCCACCTCTCTTCGGTTCATCTTGTATTTGTGCAACATTGGAGATTGAAGCTCAACGTCGTCTGGGAAGGAGGATCTCCATAGCCTATTGCGGCTCTCGCCTATCATCAAGCGGCACGATCAAGTGCATCCCGCTCTGGAGGGGCAATGGCAGAGGTGATGATGGTGTCTGCGTCTTGGTGCATCGCAACGTACATGCATGATTTGATCCCCAGTCTGCGGGAGCATCCGCTCAAACCGTCCGTAAAAGCTGACATGTGCGCCACAAACCTTCGATCCCTTCTGCAATTGCCCCAGCTCGCGTTCATGGTGCGCGCATAGCCCACACCCCCGACATCAGGGCTCGAGCTACACGGTGTTTGGGCGATTTCGTGGGCCGCGTCTCGCAGCAAAAACAGAACGAAGGCACTCGGAAGGAAAACGAAACCGAAGCGACGAATTCGAAACACTGTTTGGCTCGAGCCCTGCCCGACACCGCATCCTCTTCATGACGTAGACCACTGGAGGTCTTGACCCCTTCCCGCGGACGGGCTCTTCCTCCTGAGTCGTTCTTGGACAGTCCTGGGTCGACCACACGCAGGAGTGACCCTTCACCGGAAAAAAGACCTCTGGAGCGGGCCCGCTGGGCCGCCCCGGATCGCCGAGCGCGATGCGATGGCGGCGGCTTGCTCGCTCGGGTTTGGCCCCTTCGCGCCCCCCAACAGCCGCGCGCCTAAGTCGGCGGCGAGCGAGGGGGGGGAAGGAGAAAGAGAAGGCCTTCTCAGAAGGCGGCGGGACTTCTCAGACGCCCTCGTGCCTTCTGAGAAGTTGTTGTTTTATTTGCCTCTGGGAAAGGCTAAGAAAAGTTCTCACAAGGCCGGGGGACTTCCGAGCCTTCTGAGAAAGCCCGCCTCTTCTCGTTTCCCGCCCTCGCTCGCCGCCGAATAGCCCCCTCGCCCCCCCAAAAAAACCGCCCACCTGAGGTCACTCAGAGGATGAGGATGACGAGGAGGAGGAGGAGGACGAGGAGGAGGAGGAGGAGAAGGACGACGAGGAAGAGGAGGAGGAGGAGGAGGAGGAGGAGGAGGAGGAGAGGGAGCAGCAGGAGCAGCAGGAGGAGCAGCAGGAGGAGGAGGAGGAGGCGTGCCTAGGGGCACTCTTCTGCGTGTGGCCGGTTTGACGGTCCTGGGGTCCGGCGACCGCCCCCCGCGAGGACGCACACAGATAGCGCACAGGCACCTGCGACGTTTTTTTTGTTGTTGCTCGCAGCGCGAGGGGCTTCTGCGACCTCCCGCGAGCATGATGGCAAGTTTTGCCGACCCCCCGCGCCCCTACAAGCCTCGTCAAAAGTAAACAGAAACGAAGTTGGAAATCACGACGGTCGATCTTCTCGGGCACTTGTTAGAAACTGCGTTCTTCAATGCTGCGGCGGGGTCGTCGGATTTTTGAAGCCCTTGCGCCCACGTCAGATATCTAGCGTCAGCATTGGAGTAGCGCTGACCATACAATCACCGAAAACAGAATCCTTCAGTTTATTTTTGACGAGGGTTGTAGTTTCTCACCACCCACCGAACCACCCCAACCCAGCCCGAAGGCCACAATTTGCTCTCCATTTCTGGTGGGGGGGGGTTCGGGGAACACTGCAAACACACATGGAACCCGTACCCCCCCCAACCCGAAACTCGATTCAAATTCGGGTCTTCGGGTTGGGTTGGGGTGGTCTGGTTGGTAGTCAGAAAATGATAGCAAGTTTTGCCGACCCCCCTCGCCCCCAATTTCAATATTCAGTTGCGCGCGCGGCGCGGTGTGCAGACGCCGTCGGAAAATTTAAAGTCACGTGCTCCGGCATCGACAGTGGAATTTGGGGGTCTGGGGGCGCCGGCGCGGCGCGGGAAAACTTGCGGTAAGTTTCGCGGAGGGATGTGGGGACCTTGGCCTCGCTCGGACGTGTGCCATTTTGTCCTCGGCGAGGACCATCGAGGAGCATCTTCCAGAGGAGGAAACCTCTACCCTTTGCTCGTTTTCCCCTTTAGGGGCCTCCTGGGCGGCCCTCGTCACCACCGCTGGATTCGCTTCGAAATTCTAGTCAGAACGCACCCCGGGAGAGGTCCCGGGAGTAGCCGTATCAGTTCCTCATGCTCTTCCCAACGCAGGATCATCTTGCAGACAATTCAATGCACGAAATCGAAGCATGCACGGGGAATGGACGTCCGAGCGATGGCGAGGGACGCCGCGCGCTCGAGGCGAGTGCAGAGCAGACGCGCGCACCCACGGAGGCGGGGGGAGGAGGAAAGGCAGAGGCCGTGACAGAGGAGACTGGCAGGGAAAAGGAAAGATGTTGGAAGACAGGAACTGCAGTTCCCATATGTGCACCAGGGCCGGACCTAAACTCTGTTCTGCTGGACTTCGGCTGTGTTTCGTTTTTCTTTGGGGGGCAGGGAGGTACAGGAAAACAGGTAGAGCAAAAAGAACAACAAAACGATAACATAACGAAAACCAGCGTTTAGGTCCAGCCCTGATGTGCACGCTCGTGGAGTTTCTGCGTGCGTCCTTCGAGCACAAACGCGCGCACTCTCGGCTGGGGCAGCGTGACCTCGGAGAACCCGCATTCCCAGATCACCCCTGGGGGTCGGGCGGGTGGTAATGTAAGTCGGGCCTGTCCCTCTACAGGAGGAATATCCACAAATGGTAAAACAACAAGTCTTGGGACGATGTTTTGATTTTTTGATACTTTTGAGTAGTTGTCTGTTTCTTGTATTTTTTCTGTTCGCCCGAGATCTGCATGTCGGAGGACATGCACGACCTAATGGTAGTGGGGGGGGACCCACATGGAGTGTGAAGAAGGGGGCCCCCAAAAGGGTCCTTTAAGGGCCCCTTTTGGGCCCTGATGAGCCGCTGCTGGCTCCAACAGGGGCCCTGAAGAGCCCCTCTTGGGTGCCTGTCCCCTGACCTGCCAGAGTGCTAAAAAGTAGTCCTCCAGACCTACAGACGTAGCTGGACCGCCAAAAAAAGCGCGACAGGGATCTAGGCGTCAAAGTCCTGGTGGGAGGTCAGGGTCTTCACCCCCCATGGGAGGTCAGGGTAATTTATTGGGCTGGCCTCCGGCCAGTGCCGCCGATCCGGGGGGGGTGAGAGCGAGGGGAAGAAGGGGCCTGGGGTACCGAAAAAACGTCGGACATGACGTCGGAAATATCCCCGGGTACCGAAAAACGTCGGAAATGACGTCGGAAATAACGTACGCCCCCCCCCCCCTGCAGAGCGAAGCTTGAGCGAGCTCAAGTCCACGCTCTCAGAAACTCACACGCCGGATCGGCGGATTCTAGCCCTCCTGGAAGGTCAGGGTCTTCGCCCCCCGTTGAGGTCCCCCCCCTCCCCGTACCACCCGCCCGAAGGGGGGGGCGCGAAGAGCACTGCGCTTCGCGCACGGCGGCCGTGGCTGGAGCGGCGCTCCTCTCCAGGGCGGCGCCCGCGCGGCCGCGGAGAGAGAGAGCCGCGCGGCGCGCGCCGCGCGGCGCGCCGCCCCCGCAGCGTTTTGGGCGACCTGGTCCTCGCCCGGAGGTGTGCGCTTGCTTGTCCTGGCCGAGGACCCTCGAAGGGCATCCCGGGCACGTCTCGCGAGAGGGAGAGGCGCGCCGTCCCCGCAGAGCTGGGCGACCTGGTCCTCGCTCGGAGGTGTGCGCTTTTTTCCTCGCCGAGGACCCTCGAAGGGCATCCGGGGCACACCTCGCGGGAGGAAGAGGCGCGCGCGGCACCGAGGCGTGCCCGGGGAAGGGGCGTCCGAGCGACGGCAGGGTCCCCGACGCGCCCGCGAGCGGGGGCCGGGCGAGCGGAGAGCTCTGACCTTCCAGGAGGGCTAAAGAATGGCACCCGACTTCAAAACCTACCCCAGAGCTATTCTACGTCTTGGTTTTGGGCTGTTTCGTTTCGTTTCTGAGGTTTTTAGGCCTCCAGTACTAAACAATAGCTCGCTGGAAGTAAGGTCAGGGAGACGGCGCCCCCCGAGGAAGCGAAAGGCCGTTGGTGGAGAGGCCGCTGCAGCCGGAGAGGGCGCCGAGGAGGACGTCGAGGCGGCTTCCCCGCGGCTGGCGGGGCCTCGGGTGGCTTGCGCTGCGTCTTCGGGGGGCCTCGTCTGTCCCCCAAAACTGGCGTCGGTTCTTGTGCCCGACGCGTCTCGGAGCGGGCTCGACGCAGATGTGGCGTGGGTCCGACGCGGAAATCGAAGAAGCGGATTCGACGCAGATTCGCCCAGTCCGACGACATAGATTCGGCACGGATTCGGCACGCATTCGACGCCGACAGGGGCGCGTCGGGACAGACGAGGTCCCCCGGAGATGTAACATAAAGTGCTGCGCACAGCGTTGAGACTTGGGTAGTGCATGTCTTCCACATTTGGGAGCTTCGGGATCATCACAGATCGGTGCGTCTCGAGGTGCAGCAGAGGTGTGGGGCCCAGGGCTCCAGCCGTGGTATGCCACGATGCGTCTCGAGGTGCAGCAGAGGTGTGGGGCCCAGGGCCCCCGCCGTGGTGTGCCACGCTGCTGCCTTTTCTTTCTCGCAGCGTCGGATCTCTGGCCCCGGGCTGCGCTCAGACAGCCGCCCACCTGGAGGAGGAGGAGGAGGAGGAGGAGGAGGAGGAGGAGGAGGAGGGAGGAGGGAGGAGGAGGGAGGAGGAGGAGGAGGAGGAGGAGGAGGAGGAGGAGGAGGGAGGAGGAGGAGGAGGAGGAGGAGGAGAGGAGGAGGAGGAGGAGGAGAGGGAGGGAGGAGGAGGAGGAGGGGCCAGCGGGCCCCAGCAGGCCCCCAGGAGAAGCCCGGGCCTCCTCAGCCCCGGGGCGCGGAGCGCCCCAAGAAGGGGCGCCGCTGCTCGGGGGGCCGGCGCACGCTCCAGTCGATGGCTGGCTGCATGCGTGGGGGCGCTGCTTGGGGGCCACATGCGAACCCTACCCCGACCTCGGGGGCGGAAAAGAGGGGGGTGATGACTAGGGGGGGGTGGATATCATGGCGGGGGCCATGATATTTCCCCAGATTTTATAGCGCCTCTTCTTATTTCATTACGTCCCTGGCCCCCCCGCTGGGCCGCGCACGTGCCGCCGGTCATGATTTGCACCCCCCCCTCTTGGACACCCCCCTCTTTGCCGCTCCCGACGACCCCCCACGACTTCTGAGGGGGAGGGTGGGGTTCACTTCGTTCGTGCGCTCCCAAACGGAGTGAACCTCACCCTCCCCCTCAGAAGTCGTGGGGGGTATGGGGCAGGGTTCGCATGTGGCCTCCCTAGCTGTTTGTGCGTCGGCCGCCCGGGGATCCTTGCCACTCTCGTTGCGACCAGGAGGGGTGCGGAGAGGACGGGGGCGAAGACCGGAAGGACGCCTTGCTGGTGTCGCCAGCGACGAGGCGCGGACTCTGTTCGCTGAGCGCCGCGTAAGGGGGGGGGGGCGATAAATGGGAGACAGCGAGCGCTGCCCTAAAGGTGCCCTTTCAGGCTCCCAAGGGGCCCTTTAGGGTCCAAAGGGCGACCTTTCAGGGCACCGGAAGTGCCCCTTTCTCTCCCCCCTCCAGTTCTCGCCCCCCCCTTCATCCCTCATTAAGCGACGCCCGAGTTCGCTTCAGACATGAAGGTCGCCTGAGCAACAGCGGCCGCCATCAGATTTGGGCAACGTTTGCGGTTGGACATCGTACCCGGGGACTGGCTGCGCAGGACCCCCGCAGCATGACATAGCTTGCTCTGGCTCTGAAGCGCGCGAGCGGGCAATAAGGGCCGCGCGCCTTGCGGGGAGCAAGGCAAGTTCTTCATCCCTTCCAGTGGCGCGGTAGAGACCCCCGAATGCCGGAAGATCTTCCCAGATGTCATGGCCTCAGTTTCTGGTCTCAACCCGGCCCTTGGCATTCCCGTCGTCTGTGCACGTGCGTCGGGCCATAACGCGCTACCCGCCCTTTTTGTTCCTTCTTCGGGCCAGCTGAAGGTCAGTCGTGGGTCGTGCGCTGCCCACGAGAGTCTGTTTTCAGCGGCTGTGGCCCTCATGAAATAGATGTTGCGTGTCATCGCATCGTAGCAGGAGGTGTTTCAAAGGCCACATGTTTTCAAAGGCCGATTGTTCTGTTGGAGAGAACAGTTGTGAAACTCCCGCCGCATATATTGTGAATTCCTAGTGCTCTCGCAAGCTTTGTGTTGTGATTACGTCGGGGCTATATTGGGCGGCGTCTGAATGTAAGCTGGGAGCGACTTCGTGTCATTCTTGTTATGGTCGGATGGGTTTGGAACTAATGCCCCAATAGAGGACTCGCACGACACACCAAGTGCCCAGGTATCCGACGACGTGATTTTTTACGTAGGGGGGTCTCCTGACCTCTGTCGACCCCGTTCCGGGGATTGCGTTCTCACCCTGAGTAGTTGGTTATCGCTGTGTTGTTTTGTGGTTGTCCTTGGCAGCTTGGGGTCTCCCTGCCGGGGCCCAGCAACGGTTCCCCAGAATCTGACAATCATAGCCGGCTCGGTTTCGTCTTCGAGCCAGCTGAGGTCTGGGCTCTCGTGGGCTCTAGAGGTGGACCCACGGACCTATGAAAGTCCGCCGCGCGCGGAAAGGGGGGTAGGAGGAGGGGGTGCGGCGTCGTAAAAACACCGCTGCTTCTTAAAAGTCCCTGGCCGTGTCTATAGATGTGGCGCCAGCGTATTCTAAGAAACAGCCTACTTCTGAGAGGCCCTCTCCCCTCCTCCTACCTCCCTTGTGCGCACCGCCAAGAAAGTGTGCGCTCTGTCCAAAAGTTGGAGACGGGCCCAACCCTTTTTTGTAACATCTTCGAAGAGGAAGGCATTTTGGCCTCCCTGATTGAGTCCGAGCAGATGGGGTCGGAGGATCGCGCCGCATCGCCGATGCACCGGCGATGCGGTTCGATGTGAATCCCGATGTCCTCCACGCCGACGTCGCCGCTGCCTCGCCGACCTTCGCCGGTGCATCGCTGATGCATCGGCGATGCGTCGCCGAAACATCGGCGATGCGGCGAGATCTTCCGACCCCATCCGGAAGGCCAACCGGTGGTGTAGTAATAAGGCGACAAAAAGTGGCATAAACATAAAAATTCGGAGGTCCGCGCGGATTTCTCGGATCCGCGCCGAAGCCCCCCGGCGGCGCCTCGGGCGCCGCCCCTGGCGCGCGGAGCGCGCCAGGGAGGGGGGTCCAGCTCCGATCCGAGAAATCCGCGCGGACCTCCGAGTTTTTATGTTTATGCCACTTTTCGTTCCCCTAGAATCGGGGGTACCCGGACCAGCGTTTCGCCCGAGAGGCCCCACGCTCTGGGCCTGTGGATGCCACGACAATGGACGTCCTAACGGTCCTATCATTGAATGTGCCCCTAAGTAATCTCGAAGGTCAGGGGAGCTGGCGCCCCGAGGGGGTCTCCTGGCGTCGGGTCCCAGACAGGGGGGCACCCTGAGACGTCCGCCGACGCTTCGCGCGCGTGCCCCAGTGGCTGTCCTGTTGTGCGGCATCGCGCCACTCGGTCTGGCCTCATCGAATCGGCGGCGAGATCCTAACCTTACACTCGCCGATGAAATATTCAGGCAATTCGATGTGCTGCGGGGGGTAGGCATCGGAATTGGTCGAGCACGTTTCGAGATCCGAACCCTACCCCCGCCTCCCTCACTTCAGGCGGATCGATGATTGGCGGGAGTAGGGTTCGGATGTCGCCACCGATCGAAGCTCTGGGAATTTGTTGCTTGGCCTTTGTGGGGCCTTCGGAGACTACTAGAGGTCTGTGTTTTGAAGCTAAGATTGGGATCTCCGTGGACCTCTGGAGACGTGGAACCTCCTGAGACCTCCCTCTTCCCCCGTCATCAGCTCTCTTTTCGTCCTCCTCGACTTTGTGTTCCAATCCCTCGTCCGACCCGCTTCAATATCGTTATCTGTTTTCCCTTTCTATGTTTGCTGCTCCCGTTTCTTCTCATCGTCCTTCTCCTGCTCCTTCTCATCGTCTCTACTCTTCCTCCTGCTGCAACTCATCATATGCCCCTTCTGTTTCCGTTTCCTCATCCTCATCCTTTCTCTTGTCTTCTTCTCGTGCGGGTTTTGCGATGCTGTGCTCTGGCGTTGTCACCCCGAGCCGACGTGCGCGTCCTAAATGTAACAACTCAGGATGAAGAGGAAGCCCCCTGGAAGACGTCGAGAGGTCCAGGGGCCCTCGCTCAAAATCGAGCCGCTGGACGTCTGAGACAGGGAGGAGCTCCAATTGAGACAACTGTAGCTCTCCCACTGGGCCCAAATACTCTCACAATCGGGGCATGGCCCCCTCCCGGGGTTCATCCTGACCCGGTTTTTCCATACATCCAGCCTTCGCGGCGACAAGCTTCCAGGAGTCCGAAAAAAGGACGATCATCTTCTACGAGGGCCGCCGTTATCTCGTCTGGCCCTCCCCCCCCCGATCCAGACATCCGACGTCGTGATTCTTGCACAGGGTGGACCCCCGGAGATCTCGGACCCCCCGTTGTTTGACGGCCTCCGGGGCCCATCCGACAACACGCACCCACAGCCTCCCTCTGGGAAAGGGTGTGCTTGTTGTTCGCTCGTCGGTCCTTCTCTTAGGGGGCCAGATGCGACCCCTACCCCTACCCCCCCCTCAGGAATCGTGGGGGGCGGTGGTAGGGTTCACATGTGGCCCCCTGTCTCCTCCCCTCGGGGGCAACGCCAGGGGGGAGTGGGCGCAGGGAGGGCGGGGGATGCATCGACCCAAGCCTCCCTCAGGGCAGGGGTGTGCTTGTTGTTCGCTCGTCGGTCCTTCTCTTCCCCTCAGGGGCAACGCCAGGGGGGAGTAGGCGCAGGGAGGGGGGGGGATGCGTCGACACAAGATCGCCCATTGCTTCCCGACAGGGGCTCGATGGCCCACCCGGCCCAGGAGCGTCTCGATTCGCCTCGGGGGCCCGTCGCCGACGATCTGCTGGCGAGGTGTCTCCAATGTCGGCTCGGTGTTCCCCACCCCCTGAGCCGGTGACCCCCCGGACGTTCCCCATCATTTCTCTGGAGGTCGGAAAGGGGTGTGGCATAAAGGGGTATGGTGCCAATCGTGGAAATGGCGCTGCTATCTGCGACAAATAACATCGCCAGAGTCCCCTTTACTTAAAATTAGCACCACACCCCTTTACACCATACCCTTTTCCTACCTCCAAAATTTCTGGTGGTCTGGGCTGTGACCTCTACCGCTCCCTGGTTGCACCGTCT